TAAAATTAGCGATTTGTCTTTTTGACAGGTGCTTTGGCGCAATATGTTAGCTGCATAGAATTGGTGAACAAAAGACTGCCTTGTGGCCTTGCTCAAATTGGAGTGTGCTTTCATTCTCTTCCAGAAAGTGAACAGCTCAACAGAAGCTTTAGAAGGTACAGTAATAGAGGGGTTAATCCCTTTTCATACTTAAAGCAACTGTTTGCACTTGTTTCGCTTTTGGATTACTTTTGAACACCGTGTCTTGCTTTTTCCCTGTTATTTTTGAAGGCGTTAACTTGCTGACCTTGCTATTGTTTAAAGAATAGGCGAAAGGACCACGTCTTTGCTTGCATGGTTTAGCTCTCCCAGAACTGCAGGACAGTGGCTCGATTACTGGTTACGCCAGAGACTCCAATGGTGGAGAAAGGTAACAGCAGCGTACCCGTGGGAAATCTTGGCCTGCTCCTTTATATCTCAGAGAGAGGGGGGAATCGACACCCTGATCGGTTTTATGGCGTTATATCGCTTGCCTATTCTTGTCACTGAAACACATGTATTTCTTGTGAGAAACCAAAAAACTATTTAAGTTTGTGACAAGTAGTGAAGTAGTTTACAACATGACTTGCAGGAAGGCAAATGTTTGGTGTTTGTAGTTGATTTGAGATCAAAATGCTGTAAAACAGTAAAGAGACTTGGGCTGTAATTCATAAAAATCTTTTGCTGGAAATCATAGACTTCAGCTTGCATTACATACTTGTTTTTTGTAGCTAATACAGCACGCACAGTAGTGATCACCTCTTACATCTTTAATTTTCAGTTTGCAGTAGGCCCATCTAACTTCAGCAGCAGTGACTTTCAGGATGAAGAAGGAAGAAGAGGATTTAACTTGCATTACAGCTTTCCTTGGGGGACAGAAACAATAGAAACACTGAAGAACCTTGGTGATACCGAACTGTTACAGATGTATCCAGGAGATAGTTCAAAATTATTTGTAAGCTTTACTACATTAAAAACCTTTTTTGATAAAGATGATAACGTGTGAGAGAAACGGTTTCTTTGCTGGCCCAGTTGCTTAGCACGTGACTGTCTCTTTATTTTGTTGTAAAAGCAGTACAATTGATACTCTGCAGTCAGTCCTTCATTTCCAAAAGCAGATAAAATACTGTTGTTTGGTTGGTTTTTCTTTTTGCAAGGAGTTAATTCTTTGAAATTAGAAATTATCTATATTGACAAGAGAGCTGTTGTCAGCTGCATAGCCTTTATCTGTGAGTAGATGTCTGTGTTTTGCAGTGTTAAGTTCGCATCAAAAAGAACCTGTAAATGTTTTTTCTTTCTGTACTTGTCCAGTTCTATATATGTAGGAGTATATATGGGTTAATGGATTAGAAACACTGCAAATGGCTTTGTAGAAGCTACCACACTCAGAAGGGGGAATGGACCAGAGGGAAACCTTTCCGCTGAATATACTGGTGAGGGACAAACTTCTAGCGAATGGCAACGTTTGAAATGTCGGGCTGAACAGATAAAATAAGAGTAACTTAGTATTTTACCAGTAAATTGCAACCTTTAGCTTCTTGTGACAGTCCTGTCTGTCTCTCCTGGTTTTGCAGCTTATTTCTATACAGAAGGCAGAAGACTGTAATGTAACCTACAAAACTGTGGGTTACGCAGTGATTTCTCAGAATGTGGGGACATATCCTTGTGGTCACTTGGAAGTAATCTACAAACCTCCAAAAGAAAATGCAGAGTTTCAAGTGTATTGGCCGTAGATTTAAATTTATGATCAGAGAGGCAGGACAATAAATAAATCCCATCCTGCTCTGATCTGCTTTCCCCAGTGTTACAATCTTACCTAGTTAAGGTTACACTTTTAAGATCGCTGGTAACTTTTTAAAATATATGTCTGATTGTATTTTAAATGTAGTAAGGGTGCTTGAGCTCAATGCCTCATTATACATTTGAAGTAAACAAAAGGCCCTTTGAGACAGTATTTGAGGTATCCCTTTGTGGCTTTTTTTTTCTCTTCAGGGCCGAGATGGAAGGAAGAATGTTATTCCTCATGTTCTGTCTGTGAGTGGAAATCTGGACCGAGGAGCATTAGCGTATCTCTTTGATTCTCTACAGCTAGCTGAGAATCCATTAACAAAAAAGAAAAATTCACAGAGAAAGGTAACTTTTTGTAGAAAGTGTAAGGAAGAATGGATGGTGGAAGGCAGGGGCAGGTCTTAAGTACAAAACCCACAGACAATGTGGTAAATTCAAGGATGGAAACATCTCCCTTTTCCTCACCTCCGTCCTCTGTTCCCTTCCCCAGCAGGTGCAGACAGAATGCTTTTCACTGGTAGCAGTAGGCGGCCCCGTGGGACTGCCTCTGCAGTCCTTTTCACCCACATAAGCAATTTTTCTCTCCTTCTGAGGTCACCTTTCCTGTTTTACCTTCTTTCTCTCTGATGAGAAGGCAGGCTCTTGCCATGCAAGTGATGAAGGAGTTAAGAGGAATTGGAACGTAGCTGCTGTGCAGGGGAAAGAGGAGTTTGTCTCTTCCAGCAGCATTTGAAGGTTGCTGAGAAGGGTAGAAGAAGTGGGTTGCAGGTGGTAGTGGGGTATTTCCCCAAGGACCATCATTATTCTCACTTTCACCCTGGTTTTCTGGAGTTAGAGTGCCAGCTTTCAGACAGCACTCGCTAATCAAACAGCTGTTTGGTAACAGGCAGTAGAGTGGAGGGTAACTGCTGGGCTGTCTCCGATCACTCTGGCTCCACTGAAGATGATGGAGCTCTGCCAACAAAACTTTGACTCTTTTCTGGGGCTCAGCCGAAACGGAGTAATTTCTGCCACACTAACCTAGCTGGCATGTCTGCTAGCTATATAAAATACAGCTTGCTTCTAATTCAGGATTTTGTGCTATGAGAAAACTTCTGCATGTTTAGAACATTAATTTCAGTGAAAAAATTTTAATATTTCCTATGTCTGTTTAGAATTTCACACTAAATACATGTAGTAATCCATTGCTTTTTGTAAAATTATCAGGTACTTAAGCTTCATCCTTGTTTAGCACCTCTTAAAGTGGCCTTGGATGTAGGAAAAGGTCCAACAACAGAGCTGAGACAGGTACGTTGTAAGAAAGTATTTTAATTTTGAGCATTGACTTCCCATGTAACCTTCTGTTACAATTCAGACGCTGTTTACATTGAGGAAATCGTGCTGCTGCTTCGATTCTCGGAGATTCATGGTTGTACAGATTTTACAGTGTCGTACAGATTTTTACTACACTATGCAGTTTGTGAGTCACAGCCAAAGGAGTACACTGCAGGCAGACAGTGGGTAGTAGATGCCTTCCTCGTGTTAATACACAGCTTTTAGTACTATTAATAGAGTTTATATTTGTTCCATGCAAAATTAAGGAAAATAACACAATCCCTCTCAGTTTCTTAATCTTTCAGAATTATCTTAATGCATGGGTCACATCTTCAGAAGGATTTTTAAAAAATTTTTATTTAAGTCAGTCATTAAGCCAGTCCCCACAGAAGGGAGGAAACTTACACTGGCATGTTTTTAAATAGAAATGGAGATTTCATTGCCAGGCTGCTTTCTACTTTGAGATTATTTCAGCCAGAAAATTAACACCAGCTAGGAATGCTAATACCACGCGTACTAGAGTTTTAATGGTTTCCTTGTATAGGATTTCAAACCCTCAAAGTCTGTCTTTTAACTTTTGTTTTTAAATAAACACAGGTTTGTCAAGGATTGTTCAATGAACTGTCAGAAAATAGAATTTCTGTATGGCCGGGTTATCTTGAAACCATGCAGGTATCTCTGGAACAGCTTTATACAAAGTAAGGAGAAACAGTCTTTTGTAAATTAAACTATGAAGGTGAAAGATGACTTTCTGTGGACTAGCGAAAATATGCCTGTTTTCAGTAAGAAGTCATCGAGTGCAGTAACCACATGACTGAAGGCATGTATCCTGAACTATAAACTTGGATTCAGTTAGTTTTATTACGAAGAGCAATGTCCCATAGTTCAGTTTTAAAATTAAGTGAAGTATAAGCCTTTCATGTGTTTTTGTTTCTCTGGAACTGTGAAATGCCTTTTAGAGACTCCTATTGAAAATAAATTTCTTAGGATGAGTCACAAGCTCACAGAACTGTTGCCCACCCTCACCCCCCATTTTTGCATCTCCACTGGTTCTGTGTTTCATTCTTAAGTACTATTTTAAATAGCACACTGTGTCTAGTCTTGAACTTAAAGTTCTTCCAAGTCTGGAACCATTACCATTAGTGTATGTGATGGAATTATTTCTGCAGATAAAAACTACTATTCCAGTTGAGGGCTTCATATATGATTTGTTGATCAGGAGTGAATTTTGAGCATATCGCTGCTCACGTCAATGGATCTTGAGCACATTGATGAATATTTTTTCCCGAGAGAAAATAAATATGACTATTTGTTCTGTGCAGTAGTCTTCAAAATAAGTCTGGCTATTAAATAACAGAAGAAAGATATATTCTGCTTCTATAAAAATAGTCTTGTAATAGATCACCAAATAACATTCTTTTCACGTACTAAAGTAAATAATTTAAAGAAATGTAATCGGGAAGGCAAGGAATGGCAATAAGAAGACAGGTGTCTTCACACTGGACTTCGTGCAGTATAGCAAAAATAAATATTTACAGCTTATGGTCATTTGTACATAACTTATCTGAATTTTTCATACACCAAAAGCGGTAACAGGTGTGCTCTTTTCTTTGCAGGTACGATGAGATGAGTGTTCTCTTCACCGTCTTGATAACTGATGCCACTCTAGAGAATGGAGTGGTCCAGCTGAGAAGCAGAGACACCACCATGAAGGAAATGATGCACATTTCTAGGCTGAAGGACTTTTTAACTAAGTACGTAACATCAGCCAAAAATGTGTAAACTTAAATTCGTTGAATAAAAGGAATTTCTTAAACATCTGTGCCTGAACTGACTTCTATGGTGTCACGGACTCAGTGGTTTCTCTGCAAATAGTTCTGCTAAAACTTGGTGGTGCATCTGTTTTCTGTCAAATCTAGACCATCTAGGTCTTCCAGGTCACCTTGAAAAGAGGGAAGAGACAAACTTGTCCCTCGTTAGCAGGGCTAACCATATTCTCTCTCATGTCTTCAGTTTTACTATCTTATTGAAAATACTCCATCCTAACCTAAAAATTCATTTCATCTGTGTGTTGCTGACACAATTATGGTCTCTGCTGGAAAATGGTATTTTATATAAAAGACTTTAAAATCTTAAATGTTTTAATAACATCAGTAAGTATCTTTGTACTATCTGTAGGAATGTATTTTAATCACATGGCCTCAGTTCTTCAACATTTAAGCTACTTCATCTTGCACTTGATAAACATAAAAATCAGAAATACATTATCAAGAGTAACAGAGGAAATAGAAGAAATAAATTGTAAACAGTTTTTGACAAGCATTTTTGTGGACAAAAAAAAGTCATAACATCAGTAAGTATCTTTGTACTATCTGTAGGAATGTATTTTAATCACATGGCCTCAGTTCTTCAACATTTAAGCTACTTCATCTTGCACTTGATAAACATAAAAATCAGAAATACATTATCAAGAGTAACAGAGGAAATAGAAGAAATAAATTGTAAACAGTTTTTGACAAGCATTTTTGTGGACAAAAAAAATGTCTGTACATAGAAAATGATGGAAAAAGACTAACGTGTGATTGCATTTATCTTATACCTAAGTATTGTAGTCAAAATCAGATACCAGAGTTTGCATAGATACAAAATGGAGTGATTCTGATCGTCTGTAGGTTTACTATGTGTGTACAGCTTGTTAAGTCACTGTATGAAAGTGCTGTAAGGTGTATGCAACAAGGCATGTGGCCACTGATAGTCATCAATGTCATGAAACACGAGAACTCGCCTTAAAAATTTCTTCTATTAACATAGTGCTTATTTAACTATAAATGGGTTGTTTGTAACAATAATACTAATTGCCGCATAGTGTAATTATGCTAGATGTAATGCAAGGTTAGCATAGTGTGGCTGTGTGACTTACTGAACTCATGGAATTCTACGTAAGCTGGCTATGGAATGACATTAAAACAACCCAGAAACCTCTAAGAAACAGCCTATAGTGGGATGCAGAATTTGTTTTGGAGTTAACTGTCCCAAAAATTAATTTTGGCATCCTATCCCTACCCTGAGAGCTGAAGTAATGTTGAACTGAGAAATTGCCATCCTTGCTGCTAGGTAACAGCAGGTACAGAGGCCAAGCATGGATCTTCTAGTGTGTGCCTAAGAGGACAACACAGCTGGGATTTTTTTTTTTTTAATACTTGACTAAAGCCTTTTGATTATCTTATGTTTGCATACAATCCAGTTTCTATTTCAGGAGAATTGTTAAATGTACAGGAACTTGGGTCTGGGTGAAAGCTTTACATCACTTATTCCTTTCCATTTATTCATCAGATGCATATAATGCCAGACTACATATTGTGTCCAGCAGGATCTTACCTGACAGCGATTGCATTGTTTTGTTTCGTTTTGTTTTTTATGGTGCTGTTTGGGCAATAAGCTACTGGTTGTCTAATGGGATTGCTGTTTGGGTCTTTGTTAATTCCAATTTTTGTCCGTTCTGCTTTTTCTTTTAAATTGTAGTCCCTAGAGATTATGACTTGGGAATTTTGCTTGCTAGTAGAGAATGAGTTATATTGTCTGTCTACGAAATAATTAGGCCAGGAAACTAGTATCTAAACATCATCTCTTTCTGTGCAGACTTGGTGGTACTTATCACATCTGAGGACTGAAAGATTGTTTAAAAAGACATGATTAAGTTAATCAAAAAAGAGATCTTACCTTGTACTCAGTCTCTGATGAGGACCTTTGAATAGACTGTAGCACACGCCCTCTTCTCTGCTAAAAGCCAGAATAACATAATTCACTTTTTTTTTTGGTACAGATACACATCAGAAGAATTAATATTCCATCAGCAACTTCGTCACTAATAACATCTCCTGCATGGTTTCATAATGAGGCTGTTGAATTTTTGCGTCATAGGATGGTGATAGGCTTTTTACTGGGAGGGAGTTGTTCACTTTTTTTCCCCCCCCCCCCCCCCCCCAAAAAAAGTCTTAAAGTTATTTTAATTTCTCTATAGTAAGTAAGCAATTTCAGTATGTAACTGCTACTATCTAAACCCTGCCTCCCCCCAGCAAAATCCCCCCGAAACGTATTTGTGCACATCAGATGTTCCAATATTATAGCTTGAGGTTTTCACCTTTTTCATCTTCTTTAATAACAGAAAAGTTGACGTATTCTTCTTCCGGTTTAACAGGCTCTGGATTAAAGATGATGAAAACCAGTTAACTCAATTACAAGAGACTGATCAGATTTTTTTTTTTTTTTAAATAATCTTGAAACAAAGCAGTGAGATTCCATATTGAATATAAATCTACCATGCTTTCTGTAGCGTTCATGGGCCTTATCAGAGCTACTGTCACTGTCCTTGCAGGCTATGTGGGTAGAATGCTGATTGATAGCTGGCATGAGCAGCTGCACAGAGCACTGAGCTGACACAGCAGAGCAGCTAGAATTTTACTATATGAAGAGGAAGGCAGATTTGTTCGGAGAGAATGATTCCCTTCTTGATATTTAGAAGCAGGAAACATAATACCTTTGCTGTTGGTTTGTTTTGGGGGTTGCTTTTTCCCTTGAAAATATTGACGTTTACATATAAGGCAAATGCAGAAAACTACAAGATAATAGCATCGTGGCTTTCATGTAATGTCTTCATTATTGTGTATTTTCTGCGATTGAAGTAGTACAGTGTCTTAACATAGGTCAGTTGCTTTGTTGTCCAGCATTACTTCATAATTTCAGTTTGAACTGACAGAGTCTTGTCAAAGTTAAGAAACATGGAATAAAGAACTGTTGTGTACTGAACAATTTTGAACAGAATGCAGGTGCTACTTAAGTTTTATTTTGCTACAACTTGCATATAGCCCGCTTTTGTCTCTTAGTAAATGGGCATTGCACCTCCGATCTACTTACTGTCTTTTAATTTTCTTTTCCTCTGTAATGGCTATTTCAGTCCTCACCATGAGTTGCCAAATGCAATTCTTCATTTTACTTCTGTTTACAGTAGATTTTTGTATAGAACTTCAGTTCACTTAACCAGTTGCAGTTTTGGCTGCATGGCTGACAGGTAGCACCAAATATGGATCCTGAGGGACTTCAAATAATTCCTCTGCCAGGCATGGTCAGTAGTAGCATTAGCTCACTTACTGAGTGGTAGTAGGTGTCCCCTTCCACTGCTTTTGCAGTACCTGTAGAAATTTGCCCATACTAGCTACAAATAGTATAATAGCATTCTTCAACCAAACTCCCACAAGTAAGTTTCATGACTGCATGGGGAGTAGCAGGCACTTACCAATCTCTGTGTATATGACATAGTTCTCAGACTCCTCTGCATTCATTGTTGAAGCAAGGCCAGTTGAGGACCTAGTAGACTTGAATTTTTCTGCAAATTGCAAAAGAAAAACAAACACATGCCTATATACATATATCAATTTTTCTTAGAGGGAAATAAACAGCTCCGTATTTTTTGAATACTTGGAGAGCGCAGATTATGTTATTTTCATGATAAAAATTACCCCTTAACCAAGGGCATTTCTAATAGAATTTCCTTTCTTTACTAAGAACAATGAGGTCCAATTCCTTCCAACATTTATGTGTATTAAATTAGATGTTGCTTTGCTTCCCCCATCCCAGACCTGCCATCTAAAACATAGCTCAGAGATTTTGCCTTGTCAATGTCTTGTTAAGTTGGCTATGTTGGTTAAGAGGAGACTTGACAACATCCTAAAATACCAAGAGGGTAACTCTACTTGTAACATGGTGTTTACACACTAAAAAGTATTGACAACATAAATGAGCACCTCTGGAAAATGAAACAGACATTCAAATAACTCACTTGCTTTATATGAAGGAATGATGAAAAATGGAATTGCCAGAGCAAAGCCTATTACGAATAGTAGCAGGATCAGTCCAAGAGAAATTATCAAGGGCTCAGAATGGCTTCTTTCTTCTGCCAAAAAGAAAAAAAAGGTGTTTATGCAATGAAATGTTGTTTCATAATTTCTGTAAATTAAAATCAAGACTTTGCATTTTGAACATTGTATTGCAGGAACAAAATTTCTGGCTAAAAAACTTGCATTGTTACAACATTCTGAATTTTGTGTAGTGTCCCTGTTTATCGGCAGTGGTAAAACGTTTCACGCATGCATACCTTCTAATGTAAAGTTGAAACTGTTGCTGTATTTTGTATTATTGCAAAAGCTATTCTCAGCTCTGCATTTATAGGTTCCAAAGTCACTAGGGGAATTGATAAATAGAAAAATCACAGCCGCTTCCCTCTTTTGCATCTTCACTGGGGGAGAGATGCTTTTTCTTCCTTTGAAGAATATGTATGAGATAGGAAGAGAGCCGTTCTCTGAGAGACAAAACAGGGTCACATTCTGGCCTTTCTTTGCTTGAGAGATGGGTGAGCTCAGCACCGGTTTGGAAATTGGCTCTGTAAAAAGAAAACTGAAAAGACTGCATCACTGAGTACAGGACAAGCTCCAAAGCAAGACTCAGAGCTAAGCGGCAACATTGGCAAGTGAGATGGGCTCAAGGATGGAGGGCTTGGTGATCCAGATCAGAATAGCACTGCTGACTCCTAAGGAAATAATAGCCATTTGCAGTACAGTTCAGCTCTGCAAGCAAGGCAGGCACACGCTGCAGTCCAAAACAGTACCTGCCGCAAACAAAACCCTGACTCCTCCTGCTGCAGATACATTGCATCAGGCATGGCTACGTGCCCCTAAAATAAAATAAAATACAGGAAGACATACCTATAAGGGTGAAGTTGAGACTGTTGCTGTATTTTCCGCCACTGGAGATGTTATTCTCGGCTTTGCATTTGTATTCACCCACGTCACTGGCAGAGTTAATAGTCAAGTTAAATAAACCGGGGGTCAAGTCTGGCATATTTAAAGTAGATACCTTCCGATTGCATTTAAACAATGTGTATCTGACAGGTGGAGCTCCAGAGTCTGAGTGGCAGGAGAGGGTCACATTCTGGTTCATCACTACATTCAAAGTCCCCTGAACAGGTATGAGCATGGGATTGGACAGCATCTCTAGAAAGAAGAAACTTCTGAGTGAGTTCACTGCACCTACCCTCCAAGAAACTCCCAGATTTTTCACAAAATATGTTGAGGACCAGGCTATACTTATTTCTGTTGAAATAGGGGGTTATATTTTTTTCCACCTTCGGTAGCGGGCAACACAACTTTGTATTTTTCAAAATCAGTATGCAGCTTCAAACACGTGATGAAAAATACATGTCTTCATACAAAAGAGAGCATATACACACAAAGCCAGCAGATGTATCCAGATGAACCAACAAAAATACTTTTGAACTACAGTAGCAATGAAAATAATAGAAGTATAAAAGATAAATATAAATATTATGGTGTGTTAATTGTAGGAGAAAGTAACCTCATGCACTATTTGAGAGGTAGTGTGGGAACCTGAAAGTAAAAGCAGTATTTTATTTGTGGCCGTATGTAAACAGGCAGAATTAACCTTATGTAAGTAGATCGAACTTTTGAATAGTAGCAGCAGGAGCCTTGACGGTCTATCAAATTAGTTTGCTTTTATGAGATCATACAAATAAATTTGTAATAAAAACTTGTAATGTCTTTTCATAGAAAATAGTAATAAACTAGTCATGACTAAGATAAATTATGGCACTTCTAGAGGGGAAAAATGTTTTAACAACTTAAAGCAATTTTGACTGTACATACAAGTCAGCAAAGTCAGCAAAGAGACAGTTAACTTTGTATAGAAACTTATAGAATCACAGAATAGTTTGGGTTGGAAGGGACCTCTAAAGATCATCTAGTCCAACCCCCCTGCC